AGCCGTCGAAGGAAGGTTATTACACGCAGCTAGTACGCGAAATGAGAATCAGGTTTTGCATAACGAGGTTCAAAATCTTACCATGTCCCCGCTGTTAGTTTGTTGGATTAATGGTGCCAAACCTGCTGGCCAAGCTTTGTTTAAACAAAGCATAAGTGAGAGCTAGGTCCCCTCGAGAGCGACAATACTCTAAATGAAAGGGGTCACGCACCGCAAGACGCGTTCCATTGTCCACAGATTCCAGGCTGACAACAATTTTTTCCTTACGGCTCCCCAAGCTCAATGAAGGTGACGTCCTTCGTGCGTCCCGAGTAGACAACTTGGCCGGCGTATTCAAGAAGCGGTCTGATGTAGGCCCCGTAGAGCATTTGGAAGTCCAGGCGAGTGATACGGGAGAAACCGCATCGGATCATCCGTAAAATGGAGACTGCCTTTTGGCCCGGCAATGACAAACTTGAGGAGACCGAGATACTCAAATCCTATTTGGCGTCTATCCTCATGATGTTTTCCGGTCCTTTCTCACACTGCATGACAAAGGCATTCGCTGAGTCTCCTCCGAATGACTTATGGACGTACTTTTCGTCATTCGGAGGAAGGTGTCAGTCCGATGATCACTGCTTTGCCGCGTCTACATTCAACTGGATGGAACTAGCATTGGAACTCTAGGATTTCTAGTCGTCCGCATAAAGTGGAATGTCGTTGACGTATATCAGAAACAGCAGCGGTCCCAAAACGGAGGCTTGAAGAACTTCAATGGAGACCGGCGCTGGAGAATAGTAGGTCGAGCCTATTCTCACTCGGAATGGTCTGTCTGATAGGAACGCCTTGATCCGATGAAGGATTTTCCATTGCGTCCCGTAAGGCTCGAGTTTGTGGAGCAGTGTGACGTGTTGGGCCCTATCAAATGCTTTTGAGAAGTCAAAAAAAGAGCGGTTTGGGAAAAATCCGTGTTGAGCTGGAGATATCCGGTTGCTGGAAGTAAGGTGATCTAGGATAGCTCGCTTCATAATGCGTTCCATCACCTTGCACGGAACGCTAGTGAGGCTTCTGGGCCTGTAGCTGCCAGGCGATAGTCGGTTACCAGTTTTGTAGATTATCGTGACAATCTCTTTTTTCCAACCATGGTAAAGGCGGTTTTCGTCAAGCGACCGACGAAATCCCAGGTATAAATGACCTGCCAGTGTAGACAACGTTTTCTTCAGGATCCTTGGATGGAGCTTGTCAGGCCCCAACCGGCAATATGGGTTGATCCTGCCCAAGAATTGACAAATGTCCTCCACCGTGAAGACCAAGTCGGTTAGAGGCCTTTTGTAGTTACGCCCTGACAGGAGTGGATGTATTGAGGACGCTCGGCGTACCTCCACGCTTTATCTTGGATTAGGAGTTGGCTGCTATATGGTTTTCGCCCGAAGATTATGGAGTTTTCTTATCTCACTGGCCTCAACTGAATGAATACAGGAGCGGGATTCCACTCGCTCCAATAATACCTTTCCAATACATCCGATACGACCAAATGACCATCGGATATATCCCAGAACGCAAATCCCATCTGATGTCAGGAAACCCAGACAACCAGTAAAATGGTGCAAGCAAAGCCTTTAGGCACCAAATGGTGAAAAGTCTTAGGGGATGTTGAAAAGCGTAATACAAATTAAAGCCTTTGAAGGTGGAAAGGGCGTCTGCCATCGGTGACAGCCATGCTTTATCCTACTTAATGGAAGGCTTTAGCCAAATTAAGCAGCAAGCACTGAAACTGCAACCAAAGAAGGTGGCGAATCAATACATTGACTGAAAATATTGGGTAAACACCCGCCCTTAGCACCCCTGCCTTCAGATACAGTCTATTTATGCAAATAGAATGCTAACCTCAGTCGCCTGCCAAACAAAGAAATAAAGTACAAAATATCTCTGCTGAACTGTGCAAAGATACCAGCCCAAACAGCCTGAGACCATCCCCTCCAGAAAGCCACTAAATCTCTGGTTAGCCCCCCGATAAAACTCCCTGGTGCTATTGCGCATGAATAGAAAGTCCTTGAAGAATCAGTCACATAGCCAGTCATTATTGTCTCAACATAATTTGCCCCAGCACTGCGTGACAACCACTGTGGCATCAGCCTAGTGGCTGTGGCACCGACGGCACTCTCTGACCTTGGACCTCGAAGTTTGACTAAACACAGCAAGAGGCATCTGTAAAAAGCAAGCTTGATTCCACTCCTCAAGAAGCTGCATCGTCCATATTTTCAGCACCCAACGAATTTTGGAACGGAGATGATGCCTTCGGTAATTTACAGTGGTGATAGTTCTTTGTTGGAAACTTGCATGTGACGTGGCAATGTCCATGAGGCAAACGTGCCCCCATAACGCCTTGACCGTCCCGAAGGTATTGTATACCAAAGTCTGCGGAAGAGCTCTGGTAATGTGCTGCCGTCAAGCAGGACCATCCTCCACCATTTTTTCTTCAATTAAGTCATCAGCATGACTGCGGAAGTCCTACTCACAACATCTAACTCCAATAGGGCCAAACTTTCCCAGGAGGTCTGTCATAAATGTCAAGTGTGCGGGCAGCACACATCTTCTCTGGCCTGGCGCTATGTAATGCAGACCATATCAAATGTTATAAATAATTTTGCTTCGGTGTCTGACTCACACCTCACATCAACAAAGGATAGACGGCTGATGAGAGCATGGTTGGATTCGAATCCAACTAGGATCCCAGAGACGTTCTTCTGCAAAAGTAGGTATATCGGGCCCGGTGGTCCGGCTGAAAATAATGGTTCTCCGAGTCGTCAAAGCGAAAGAAACTGCCTTCAACCTCCTCCACCCCTGACGCAGGCTTTACTTCAAGCTTGGATTTTACATTGTTGAGTTGCTTCCCAAAGCATTATACATGTAAAAAAGTGGCCATGTAAAAAAGTAGTAAAAAAGTAAAAAAAATATAGCCAAACTGTGATTTTGCATCTTTAATCGTCTTGCCAATGATGTTTTACCGAATTGTCTGAGCTTGGTGGCAGCATGGATTTACGAATGCTTGAGTGAGCGAAACTGTTTTCGGAAAAAATAACACCCACGAAAGTTGGCGGAACCCACAAAACAAATGCGCTGGTTTAACCATGTGCTCCATGCTCGAGTTAACTTCATTCCTCGGACATCGTTTTACACGACCACACATAGAGCAGAAAGGAACTAGGAGGATTGAAAAGTGAGCTGGCAGCCAGGTGCAAAAGCCATTATCAGACACCTCGTCTGCGCCGATCAGCGTCGTCTCCCTAGATAGAGAACCTAAACGGGACAAATCAGTGGTTGGGGGCATTGCTAGACTTGATCCACTTACACTCACTAATGCACATACACACAAGAGCTGCTGCAATTGCTTGACTCCCTTTCCAGCAATCGGTGGCGTAAAGTCCGGCGTTACTGCTAGATTCATGCAGTAATTATATAAGTAACAACCTCTAACGTGTAGATATCCACATGTAACTTCCCAGACAAAACTGTGGCAGCAATACCCACTGCACAAAACTTAGGCGATTCGGAAGCTGGAAGTGACCACTGTGTACGAGATTTACCTATAATAATAATGGGTTTATTTCCTAACTTGTAGGGAACATGCCAACTGAGGCATGATCGTGTCGTTACAACCTGAACACGGCAGGCAACAACACAACGAAGAGGAAGGTAAAACCAACGAGGAGTGATTATTTTATGAAAAGCCATCGCAGTTGCGTGAACCGGAAAAACTAGAAAAAGAGCATGAGGCCCGACTAGTTCAAAGATGAAACAGGCTAACATGAACTAAAAGTGAAAACCATTGCCGGCCATGAGCGACTTTGGGTGGTTGAGTAAATGGCCAGCGCACAACAGGCAGGAATGACGATTGAGATGGAATAATTCGAAGTAGAGGCAAACGGCGAAAAAAGACCGGAGGTTGAGCACCAGAGGGATGAAAAATTCAGGTCAAACTAAACGTTAGCAAGAGTAGAAACAGAGCCACTAGCCTTAAAATTCAATATCTCAATATCATCGGCGAACAGGAAGAGGTCCATACGTGATCGAATCAGTGGCATTATTGTTGTATAATAAGATATTTAGAGGGCACAGCACATTATCCTGAATAACTCCGCTGGTGATGAAAGAGATAATGAGGAAAGCTCCCCGATATTCGCGACCTGGGTTCACCCAGTGAGGTGAGAGGTGAACCATTGCAGTAGCGGGCCACCAATCCCCGTAGATCGTAATTTGTTGAGGAGATCACCGTGGGGGGCTCGGCCGAACGCCTGGCGAATATCGAGGTAGATAAGAATAATACATCGTCCGGCATCGTATGCGGACGAGAGATGATTAAAGTAATCAACCTGGCATGTGTAAACTGACCGCCGTGCCATAATCCCATGCTGGCGATTGTGAAGGGTCTTGAAGGTGAGCAGGTAATCCATGACAGGGATGTTGATGAGGCATTTTAGGGTATGGGAGAGTAAGCGGGTATGCTGGATGTCGCAATAGTTAGCTGAAACATATCGTGGACCTGACTGATGGCTTGGAAGAATTGCGGAGTGCTTCCACTGACTTGGGACTGCGCCGATGGTAAGGGTGTTAATAAAGGGATTGGGGGTGACTGTGGGGATATCAGGGTCACGAGCTGTAAAGATAAGCGAAGTACTGTCTGGGCGTGGGAAATTGGGGTCTCTAAGGTAAACAGTTGACAAAGTTAAGCCAGAGAGAGTAATTGGGGTTGTACGGAGGGAAGGACTTGTCTCGCCAACAGATGTGATCACTTCGTAGCCAGATGGGAGCAATGAGTAGATAGGGTCGATACGGAAGGACGTAGCAGCTGGCGAATTAAGAGTTTAGGGTCTCTAAAATGTCAGCACGGTCCTACAGAGACTCCCCGTCGGCGGCCAAAATACTTGAAATCGCAGATGAATTTGAAGAGTAACGTCTTTGGATGAGGCGCCCCAGCATCTTAGATTGAAGAGAATGTGCTACGGCGGTGGATTTCTCACGTCTTTCACGAGCGAGTTCGGGTGTGGTAAGCTCGGTCAGAAGTTTGTTGACAATAATGAGGGAGAGATCATAGGATTCACGGAAGAGCTTCCCAAGTTCATTTCCTATTGCTAATAATGGTCTGGGTGCATGGCTACTAGAAACATAGACAGCTCGTGTGGGAACAACTAGACATAATGATGATAGTAGGTTGCTGGGAAAGATGTTGGCCACGCTTTGCTTGTCACGAGACAGATAGAACTCGTCCTAAGTTTTAGGGCGCAGCGGGACTGAAAAGGCTTCAAGTATGCCAAGGGAAAAAGATGAAGGAGCATAAGGTGGATAAGTAAGAAATGGCTGGGTACTCGTCCAGCTGCAAGCGACAATAAGAATGTCATTAACATGGAACTTCTGAACAACCGCATTGGCTGGACAGAGA